CAGCCACAAAGAACTAGAAAGAGCCTAAAGTACATATATATCTATATATATATATATAATAAATTTATGCGCCACGTTTTATCGCAAGGAGAGCTACGTACCGAATGGAAACAATTTAATATTACACATACCTTGTTTAGCTTGAAAGCGGGAAGAAAGTAGACTAGTTATGTACTCTAATGTACTTAAAAAGTTTCAACAATAAAGCTATTGCTACCAATTGATCTCGATCTGAAGGGAACGACTAGTCTTGGTTTTAATTTTGAAAATCATGAGTAAATAATAACACTAAGAGGTTTTACGAATTAATATTTGTTTTATAAAATTTCATACGTTTAAATTAAGTTACATTAGACGTAGATATTTCAATAATATATACTTCTACGATCTGTGCTCTTAACGCGCGATGATACTTGCGTTCACAATTAGTTCCCAGCACTCTATAAACATCCATGATGCATAAAAAAAAAATATATATATATAATCTATACAGATTTTATACATTTTATCGTTTACACAATCGATGCATCATGGATCTTCAATATTTATGATGGTGCTTAAATATATATTCAAAAAAATATGTTTACAAACTTTCGGCACACTTAAGAATCCGCAGTTTTCTGCTCCAATTGATGCTGCGACTGTTGACGTTCCTCGTTGCGCGGCATATCACAGCTCGACAGAGACTGCAGCTTAGGCGGACAATTGTCCAAAGTCGATTCGAGAGCGTACAGTTTGTCGAGTTGCTGGCGAATATGATTCAGACAATCCAGACGAACGATCCGTCTGCTAGTGGAATCTCTATGGATCGTTAGACCGTTGAACAATAACTGCCAACCATTCTCCTGAAGTTCCCGAGTTATCTTCTCGAGACTCTCTGATTCCGTTTGTTCCTGCTGCACAGGCACGTCATTCTGGCAATACAAAAAACATTTATCGCAACAATGCAGGAATATTCGACCTAATAATATCCTCTTTTTGTAAAATTAAAAAAATATTGCTTTCTCGCTTCAAAAGTAACACAACTAAAAAAATTAATTTTCTCAAAAAAGGGAAAAAGCTATTTTTCGACAATTTCAACTTGAAAGAAAATTCTTATTTATTAATAACTTCATTTGTTAATAACTTTTGAACAAACAATGACCGTCACCTAAAATGTTTTAAAGGTCACTCAGGGCCATGACTTTGACAACATAGGTGAAGGTCAAGATCATCGGAGTGGTGTCCGTTAATCCGAATGATTACCGAAAATTCTTGACTAATTAAATAATATCGCGCGGCACAAAAGGAATATATTTTTAACATAATCAAATGCCATTTTTGTCATTTGATCATGTTAATATATTTTTCGTCGATATTTGAGAGAAAGGGAGATGTCAAAATTTTTTATTAAATTAAAAAATAGTTTTTCTCCTTTCACAACTCTAAAAAATTACTCTTTTATAATGATTTTTAAAAATAAAATTTAGTTAGTTTACTTTTGATCATTAATAGGATAATGTTCAGTTAATAATTACTCATTCATAATATCATCATTTGAAAATCACATTTTTTTTAATTATATCACTTTTGAAGTAAGGGAGCGACATATAGAAAATCAAGGGAAACCAAGAAAATTTCTTTTTTTATATGTTCTAAACATATAAAAAAAGAAATACATATTTTACGCGCATGTATGAGATTGACGAATAAATTAAGATGCAAGTTTATGCATCTTAATGCGCGTAAACTATAATACGTTAACTATGTACTTTCGTATCGTCCGTGGTACTAAGCATACGGTCAATCGATTCCAGAATGCGAGTTTTAGTGGCGTGGAGATCCAGCTTTGCTAGACGCTCGGGTTCCTTAAGTACGAGTTCCTTCGTGAGTCTATTAATCGACTGGTCGATCAAGGTGGATGACTTGCTCGCTGCATCCCCAGTCTTTTTCGATTTCACCATTCTCGCGACATTTTCATGTCTCCGTCTCTCGAGTCTCTTGTCATCCTCGCTTATCGTCGCCTCGCCGTCTCCTCGTTTCAACCTCTCCAGATCCTCGAGGCTCAAATCGAGATTCCTCATCTCCTGAGACTCGACGTCACTTTCGTTCCTCGTTTCCGCGACATATTCACCGTCACCGATGCCGATGTAGCGACGCCTCAGTTCAGGATCCAGCACGCGCGACTTCCTCGACTGGACAGCACGTGGGATATACTTCACCGACACCTCACTCTCAGCATCGGAACATTCTCGTTCGTTTGGCGATCTCTAGAAGATATCAGATAAATTCGAAAATAATCGGGATGATAGAAGATCCTCGTTGACGATTTTTTATGTAATTACGCTTCTTTAAAAAAGCTACGCGATTTGCAGATTATCTCCATGTTTTGATACATCGTTAAATGCTAACTTTTCTATAATATTGCAGTTTATCAGAGCGAGAAGCAACCTTGATACTCAGTATCAGTATCAAGTTGCTTTTCTCGCTCTAATGAGGTGAACTGCAATGTTCTTGAAACGTTGGCATTTAACGATGTATCAAAATATGGAGATAATCTGCAAACCGCGTAGCTTCGTTGAAGAAACGTAATTACATAAAAAATCGT